GTATCTGAATTTTCACTCATATATATTTTTTAAAACTCACACACACACACACACACACACATATATATATATATATATATCATAAATGTTAAATATAATTTATATGTTTATAATATGAATTTAGTGAGTGTATGTTTTATTTTCTTAATTTTGATAATTTAAAATATTTTTGTTTATTTTAATTTAGATATGAATTTAGTCTCTATAAGTTCATGTTTTCTCAATTTTAGTTCTTATAAATTTTTAATTTATTTTTGTCCTTATAAATATGCATTTTTAAAATTTTAGTTCTTTAAATATTATAATTTTTCTTTCACTTTAGTTCATGTAACTTCGAACTAACAACTAAAAATTAGAAAGAAAAAAATATAAACTTATACTGACTAAACTTTGAAAAAAAAAATATTATAAAGATTGAAATTGAGAAAGGATAATCATATAAGTATTAAAAATAATTTTAAAAAATTGGAAGGATCAACATTAAAAAACTGTAAATTAATATTTAGCTTATATTACATGATTGTGTAAAGAAAAAAAATACACTTACTTTTAAGATTGATTATGTACTTTTTTAACCTCTTACTATTTCACTTATTTTTTTTTTGTTTATTATTTGTAGGAAACATATGAAGAATCAATGACACAAAAATATGGAGAAGACACTTCATCTCATCCTGTAATTGATTCTGATCTTTGGTTAAAAGCTGCAGGTGAAAACAAGAAGAAAAGAGTTCATGGCATGGGGCATAGCTTGAATCTTGGAACTAGTAGCTCTATACAAGCTTCATCTCTAGAGGTTGCAGGTTCCTCTACAAATCTTACGCCTATGACAGAAGAACGAGTCACTATAGTTATAAATACTACACTGGCCTTTTTTTTGCAAACACAATTACCAGAGATGATGAGGTAGATAATTCAGGCAGTTCAACCATCAACAACACCATCAACCAACCAACGTAGGGAGGATCAAGGACGAGATGATGATTTTACTAGCTTAGGTTGATTACTGATGACTCGTTATTTGGCTTTTCTTTTTGTAAGAAATTGATTAGTTTGGGTTTCTTTAAGATAGTATGCACAAGTTGGATTTTGTAAGACATTTAACAATTTGGTTTTGTAAGAGATATTGTTACATGGAACTTTTATTTTAAATCATGTCCAATTGAAAAAAAAATTATGTAGTTGAATTAGATTTATTTAAAATATCAAATTAAGTGGCATATATACAGGAATTCATGAGAGAATAATGTATATATATAGATAAATTGGGAAGGTTTCGCGAGATATTAGCGAGGGATTCACGAGGAAACTCAAAAGATATGTTGTGAAGGTTTAGCGAGGGATTAACGTGGTATTCACGAGGAAACTCAATCGATATGCTTTGACGGATTTGCGTGGGATTAGCGAGGGATTTGCGAAGGAAATATTTGCGAGGGGTTAGCGAGGGATTTGCGAAGGTCTTGCGACGTGTTAGCGAGGAAATATTAAATGCAATTAGCGAGGGAATTTGGGTTCTACATTTGCGAGGCGATAGCGATGAATTAGTGGCACAAATTTGTGACTGACTAGCGAAGCTGGTTGCGAGGGAAAATCGAAGGAATGTAGCGAGAGAATTGCGAGGGATATGCATCCGTCGCCAATTAGCGACTTGAATTTAGCGAGGGAATAGTCCTTCGCAAATCCCTCGCGACTCCCTCATCATTTTGTTTAGCGAGGGATTTGCGAAGGATCTTTCCCTCTCTAATTCGCAATTTTCTTGTAGTGACTCACCAATGCTAGTATTCTTAAATCACTTATGGTTATCCAAGTATTCTCGACCACTCCTAGCCCTTCGGCTTCACTCACCAATGCTACTATTCTTAAACCACTTCTGGTTCTCCAAGTATTCCTGACCACTCCTGGCTCGTCGGCTTCACTTACCAATGCTAGTATTCTTAAACCACTTCTGGTTCTCCAAGTATTCTTGACTACTCCTGGCCCGTCAGCTTCACTCACCAACACTAGTATTCTTAAATCACTTCTGGTTCTCCAAGTATTCTTGATCACTCCTGGCCCATCGGGTTCAATCACCAACGCTAGTATTTTCTTATCAGCCACTTCTGGCTAGCAGTGAGTATTCTTTGACAAGCCCCCTCCGGGCTTTACAAGTATTCTTTCTCTTCAGGCTTTACAATGTATTGGCTAGACAAGTTTGGTTCGAGTGTATAGTTTACTCTCACAGAGAGGATACATATGGAATCTACACTCACTAAGGTTTGTTCATGACTGACATTTTGAACATCTTAGTCTACAGAGATAACAATGCTATATTACATTGTGTATATGATTATGAATGTTCATCTCTGGTACCTCTGTCTTGTGGGCTTGATATCATCTCTTTTATCAAATGCCCAGGGCAAATCCTATGATTATATCTTTGTTGCTCCTTGCCAACATTTTTCGGTTTGATGTTATTGCATACTTAAAGGCCTGTAAAATTTACTCGTTGCATATGTCCGTTGAAGCTAATATAGTCGTTCATGACTAGTTTGATCCTTTCATTTAATGCATTTGGTCTTGCATTAAATGTTGCTTCCTATTTTTTGAAATTGCATGTATTCTTCTCTGTCTTGTTGTTAGCAATGCTTGACTTTATCTGAGACCTAGAAGTTATTTGTCTTTTTTTAGTCATGCAGCAATATAGCCATTGTCCTTTTCTGAAAAAGTGATGCACTTTTTCTGACACATGTATGCTCTGCTTTTGCGTGCTTCTCTTATTCTTTGTTCCTTCATTTAGATCACGCATTTTATGTTGAGGGCTTTTGTGTGATCATAGATGATGCTTTGAGTAGTCTTTTGAGACTTGATAAGTGTTTGCACGGTAGTCTATGTCTGCGTCTGTTAAGCTCATGTGTCTCTTGTCTTGTTCTTCATCTGAGTATTCGATGTTGATGCTTTGGTGTTTTATATGGTCTGGTTAGTATTGTAGACATACTTGTCTTCGTCCACAGTATCTTTTAGTTTGTGTTGCTCTTGGTCTTGATGTATGATTGACTTTCTTCTATCCATAAACATATGCCTCGTATGGTCTGTGCTTTAGAGCAATTGCATCTGACACAACTTTGTCTGAGTATTTTGTGATCATCTGGTGCATATTTGTGTTCCAACTACTCATCTCTTGACGCTCGGTTTCCTACATCACTTTCTTTATTTGTCTCGACTTTTCTGGTTCATGTCTCGCCTTGATAATTCCTCGTAGGCTAGTGTCTCATTCTAGTGGTAGTCCTCTTCTGATGGAAGAAAGGTTGAAGAAGATTGTTGTTCTTCAATTCTCCACCGTGCAAGACCTTGCTCCTTGAGGTTAAACTCTTTTAAGATGGTGGAAACACCTTGGAGAAGCCTCCAATGGTGGAAAAGCATCCTAAGAGGTTCGGTTACCTCTTGAAAAGGTAAAGAAGCTTGAGGAACCAAGCTTCAAAGGTTGAGAACCTTTGAGAGAAACCTAGGAGAGTTGTTCTCCATGGACTAGAGACTCTTGAGTTGAGAGAGAATTATGAATTCTATTTCTCATATATGTCAAAAGTGAGCATAAGAGTTGAAATTACAAATATATAGAGTGAGGTAGCTTAAAGAGCAAGCTAACCTTAACCATGGTTCACTAGGAACCATGGTAAGGTTACTTGACCGTCCAAGTGAGTTTAGAACCTTGTGGAGAAAGCTTCTCACTTTGCTTGCTTGGGAAGCAAGCTAAGGAGAAGCTTGTAACACAAGCTTCTCAACTTCTTGAAGGGAGAAGAGAAATTCGGCCAAAAGAAGAGAATTTAGGCTAGGCGGCCTTGGTCCCAAATAGCTCCTTGAATTAATTTTAAAAATGTTCGATTTGGTTTAGTTAGGTTCATCCAAAGTAGATGAGACCTAGCTAAATCAAATCTATGAAAAATTAGGAGCAAAATGAGTCTAATATGTAAAATTTTTCCTAGACCCAATTCTGGCCCAATTGCTAGTCACACCCTCAAGCATTGCTAATTGCCACCCCACTTCTACTACTGAAAAAATAGAAAATGAGTGTATCAACAAATAAGGTTAAATAGAGTCTATGTATCCAAGTAACCTTCCCTAGAATCAATATACAATGACTAATAAAATGAAATAAAGTGCCTCACAAATACAAAGGCAAAAATAAGCCTATACAAAAGAACTATGTATAAACTATACACAAGTAGAACTAAGCCTTCTCTTCATGATAGAGTATATTCCAAGTGAAGAGTACCTTGGGCTTAGAAAGCTCACTGGTCTTCAAGATGTCCAAATCTTCTTGTATGCTCTTGGCCATAGCTCTAGTGATTGGGTCCTTGGCCCATGGTCTATCATCTTCCGTCCGTGAGCAGACTTCGTTTTTATGCTTGACTAGCCATCATTTGATTCTTTCATCTAGTTTGTACAATCCTCATGGATTGTTTCATTTAATGACTTTGATTTTGCATTAAATCTTTGCTTGTTGAGTCTGCGCTTCACGAGATCTTTTGTACTGTATGTTTGCTTTTCTGACTGGCATTAAGATATCTTTGTACTTTCCTGATATTGTTGCTACAGAGGTGTTGTCCTTAGTTGTCTGGTAGGTGTACTTGCTTTGACACACGCAACTTTGATCTGTGGATAAGCGCTTCTTTTATTTTGATGACTTCATGTGTTCTTCTGAGAGTGTGGATGCTAG